CTCTCCGCGCCTCTGCGCCTCCGGCTTCTGCAGCCTCGCTCACCCGGGACCTGGCTTGGGGCTGGCCTGGGTCGGGCTCCCCAGGACGCGCCCCTCCTCCCCTCTCCGCGGTCGGATTGCCACCCTCGCTCCCACCCCCCTGGAACGGAGCCTCTGCCTGGGTTGGGGTGTAAGCCTTGGGGATCGGGGACACGTCGCCCGTGGATACGCCTCTGCGCCTCCGGCTTCTGCAGCCTCGCTCACCCGGGACCTGGCTTGGGGCTGGCCTGGGTCGGGCTCCCCAGGACGCGCCCCTCCTCCCCTCTCCGCGGTCGGATTGCCACCCTCGCTCCCACCCCCCTGGAACGGAGCCTCTGCCTGGGTTGGGGTGTAAGCCTTGGGGATCGGGGACACGTCGCCCGTGGATAAACAAGGGCGAGCAGGTGCAGGCGGGCCACGCAGAGGCAACTGTACGCAAACAGACGCAGAACTAGACCGCCCCCGACGCCTACTCAGGTTGGATCCCGAACGAGTCCGCCAGGGGGCAAGAGTGACCTGGAGCTGGTGCGGAAACCGGCTGGGAGCTGTCCAAGGTGGTCACAGTCCCAAGTGGCCGATTTAGCTCCCGAGAGTCCGACGACGTCGGCACCTAGAATCCCTCTCTCGCCTCTCACCTGCCGTCCCCTGGGCGTACAGCCAGCACCCCTAAAACCCTCATCTCACCTCGGCCAAGAGAGCCAGATTGAGACTCCAGCCCGGCGCTTCCTCTCGGCCCGCGGGTCTCAGACTCCAAAGCGGCCCGCAGAAGGGTATGTGGGGGTGGAGGGGCGAGCAAAGCAAGCCCGCCCACACACACGGGGCAGTAACCACACAAACAGCTCGAGCATTCTCAGAAAGAGAAGGGAGTCGCCAAGACCACGCCTTCCCGCTTTGGAAAAAACGCGAGCAGGACGCCATCTCAGCGCCCCGGTGGGGCAGGGCAAGGTATCAAGATGCCCTGGGGGGTCACCTCCGGACCACACCTCCCCTGGCCTACCCTCTTCTAGGCCGCCTGGGTCATTGTGGGGGCTCTTGGGCTGAAGGAGGCGGCTCAAGGACTCGGGGAGGTCCCTGTACCCCGAAGCAGGGAAGCCCCGCATTGCCCGGGTCTAGCCCAGGCAGGAAGGACGCCGGAAGAGCTGTGTGCACCCTGGGGACCGGGCAGGCCTGCATTCCAACACAGCTGGACAAGGGAGGTCAGGCAACAACAGCCGCCCCACCCTGTGAACACATTTTGCTGCTCTAGGAAAAGCCTTTTATTACAAAATGTTTACACGCAGGCTCTGCCCTGGGCTCTGGCCCTCCCAGGACAGGCCAGGACTCCAGGGCTCTGATGACCCCTTAAAGGCCCCACTCCCTGGAGATCCTGCTCTGAGTCACAGGCTGAGGGGCCCTCACCCCTGAAAGAGGAGAAGTGTTAAGGCAAAGCCCGGATGCTGGGGACTCTGGGGCGGGGGTGCGGGTCTCCTTTGGCCCACCCAGTACCCCTGTGGGAGTGGGTGGCAGGGTCTGGGTTCCGCGGCCCCCATGGGTGCTGGAGCGGGGTACCGTGGGGTGGAGTACTACGAAATGAGGTGCTGCGGCCTAGCGTCCCGGGCAACTCCCCCCGCACGCGTCCCTAGATGACGTTCTGCGCCTTGGTTGTCCCCACCCGGCGCAGCAGCAGGACAAGTGCGGCCAGGACCAAGGCGGCAAAAAGCAGCAGGAGGACCACCCAGGAGCTGAAGGCGGTGCCCTTGCGCAGCCCGGGCGGGTCGGCGGGGATCATGTTGGTGAGGTTCAGCATGTAGCCCAGCGCCCAGCCCACTGCAGTGTCCGCCGCCTGCGGGTGGAAGCGTGGCCTCAGCCTCCGGGAAGCCCAGCCCTCCGCCTAGGCCCCGCCCCTCAGGCCCCGCCCACGCCCACCTTCCTCTGGAAGGCCACGCCGCTGAACACTCGCTCATCGAAGCCGTAGCCACGGCTCAGCAGCTGCTGCACGAACATGGCTCCGGCGCAGTAATCAGCCAGGCGGGCCTTCCGTCCTGGCGCCCGAGCCTGCAGCTGGGGTACAGGAGGGAGATCGTTGGGCCGGGACCAGAGGTGGCTGGCAGGGTGCCGTGTCCTCCCCACTGAGGCCAGGAAGCCCGCAGCAAGACCTTGCGCAAGGAGGCAACGGACAGCACCACAGCCCTCTGGGGTGAACCGCGGAGGACGGCAGAGTGGGCCCTCCCCAGCCAGCTCCGGAACAGACTCCAGGGGAACAGGGTGGCCCTGCGGGGGCATGGGCCAGGGAAACAGGAGCTCCAGGCTGAGCACGGCCCCCTCTCCTCACCCCTCCCCTGAGAATGGGCACCGGGTGGCAGGCGGGCTGTCGCATCGCTCCTCCTCCCTGAGGACCGCAATCTCAGGTGTCAGGTGCCTCGCCTTTCCTACTTGGCACCAATGTCCCGCCAGTGGCAGGAGCTATAAACCCGGGCCTGGGGCAGCCTTCAGCTCCTCCTTGCCCATGGCCTGCTCTAACTCTGGGTGCGTGTGAGTCACCCTCCATGCTCCCCACTCGGTCACAGCCATGTGTGCACTCTCTGTTCATGCTGCCCTCCTGGTCTTCACTGTAGGCAGGGCCAGGCCTCAAGGAAGGTGCAGATCACCTGGCTCTCAACACGGCTAAGCCGCCACTCTAGAGTCTGGCCTGGTGGCCCCAAGCACAGAATGCGTTGAGAGGTTTGGAACCCACAGGACTGGGCAGGTGAGAGGCCGCTGCCCAGCACTCCCTGAGGCCTGAAGAGCAGGAGCAGCCTCACCTCAGCCCAGGTCTGGTTGCAGGTGGTCACCGCGGCAGCGTCCAGCTGCTTCAGAGTGGCCGTGGGCAGCCCCATGACAGTCCTCAGGAAGTCCACCGTGTAGTAGAAAGCAGAGAAGGCCTGTAGGGGTCACAGGCACCCTGAAGCTGGCCCCGGCATTTCCCCAGCCCACACCCACACCCACTCCTGGTGCCGGGACTCACGACGAAGCTCCCAGCCACAGGGGGCTGGAAAACCCCATTGAAGGAGCACTGGGAGAAAGGGCAAGAGGAGAAGTTGAAAAGCCCTGACACGAGGCTGCGGCAGAGTTTGGGATCGCCGGTGCCCGACACAGTGACCCTGGCGCTGCTGTTGAAGGCCTGGGGCCGCTGAGCCTGGGTACAGGGTGACTGGTATACATTCCCAAGCAGCACTTGGGTGGAGTAACCCTGTGGCCAGCAAGGGTGGGAGTGGTGGGTCTGGAGAGAGAGAAGCAGAATGCAGCTGGCACCACCCTCACTCCGCCCCAGAAGTCTACTCTGATGAATTCCCGCAGTCCAATTTGGATGCTATCATTTTTGTGCTCAGGAGCAATCTATGGCTCCCCTTGCCCGCTGGACAAAAATCTTATCCCTTGGCCAGGCATCCCAGGCCCTCCTTTCTCCAGGCCCCCAGCCACCACCAGATCCTATGCATGCAAGTCCCTCCCCCTTATCCTTCCAGCAGAAGCCAAGCCCTTCTGGGGGCCTCAGCCCCTGTTCCTCTCACACCCTCCCTGCCCTTGCCCTAGGGCACAGTGTTGTGGGGGTGCCCTGGGCTGGAGAGGCACCTGGAGGGCACTGGCCAGCATCCTCTGGAGGACCTGGTCTCGGCCATAGCAGAGGAAGCTGTGGGTATAGACTCGGTAGCGCTGGCCATAGAGACGCAGGTGGACCTCGCTGGCGGGATCCTCAGCTGGCTTAGTCATCTCAAAGGTGATCTGGGTGGACGCACCTCCCAGGTCCATGGCCCCTAAGGTGCCCTTCCTTGGCCGGAACCACCGGCCCATCCAGCCATACTGTGAAGAGTGGAGATGGGTCAGACAAGGACAGGGGCCTGTGCCCTGGCTCCCTGCTGCCCGGGCCAACTGCAAAGCCCACCTTGATGAAGTTCTCCAGCAGATAGTTGGTGGTCACCCAGCCAAACACGCCCTCATCCTGGCCTGACAGGATGCGTGCCCCCCGAAAGTCAAAAGGGTACCGGGTCAGCGTCTGTGTCACTGCAGCCAGCACACTGGCTGAGGCCTCTGGATGGGTTAGGCTGTGGGACAGGAGGACTCTGAGGGGCCTTCTCCACAGCAAGCCGCAATCTGACTGTGGGGTGCTTGGGTCTCCTGAATGAGGGGCTGGCCCCGAGGGCGTTCAGCGCCCAGGCCAAGGCCAGGGACCTCACTCACTTCAACAAGCGCATGCCTGCCGTGGCGCCCAGGTACAGGGGCGTGGTGGCGTGTCTCTCCATGGGTACATCCCGCAGGGCCTGCTCCAGGCACTCCACCAGGCTCTGTCCTGCCTTGGAAGGGTCGTCTGCATAGCTGGAGATACCCTCACCTGCAGGGAGGAGGCAGATGAGCCAGCCCCGGTGACAGTCCCCAGGCACAGCGGAGTCCTGGCTGCAGTCTCGGGCTCCCAACCAGCTCAGACATGTCTTCCCAGCTTCAGCCCAGAGACACCCCGCTCACAGACAAAAGGACCTCACGCCACCCCGTCTTTGAGGCTGCCGCTTGTGGGTGGGTGTGGGCACAGGTGCCAGGACAAAGCACTGGGCATTGTCAAGCAGCCTAACCTCCCAGGGGACTGCCTGGTGAGCACACCAGGCCCTCCAAGCCCCTCCTGTTCCCCTGGGCAAAGAGGTGAGGCTCAGGTTGGGCAAGGCCCAACCCTGCATTTCCACCTGCGGCTACATTTCTGGAACACACACTGCCACAGCCCCCGGTGCAAGGGCCTGGCCTCTCTGCAGCCCCTGCCTGGAGCAAGTCCCACCGAACCGCAAACAGAGCTGCAAGACCGAGACCCTCCAGGGAGTGGGTGTCCAGGACGGGGCCTTACCCTGAACATCACAGGAGCTGTGCTGGCCCACAATGCCTGTGTCATTCTCCTTGTCTGCTGGCCACTTGTAGATGAACATGGATGTGTGTGAAGAGCCAGCGTCCAGCACAATGCCATACTGGGGGTGCGGTAGGGTGTCAGCCTGAGGGGCCCGGGCACCCTCAGCCCCACCCCTTAGCCGTCCCAGCTCTGTACCCTCCTGTCTTGCCGAAGCTCGGAGAGCCAAGAGCAGCCTCGGTGACAATGTGGTGATGTGGGTGCAGGTGACCCTAGTGGTCCCCTCTCCTTTCCTCAAACCGGCCTGGCAGGCTGCCAGAGAGCCACTTGCCAGGGGCCCTGTGGGGCTGTGCCAAGGTCAGGGGGTCCCAGGAAGACCAGGTCTGGGACTGAGGAGCCCACTCCACCTTCCTTTCTCCTCTGCTCACCCTGCCCTGACCTAAACTAAAGGCTGTGTTTGCTCCAACCCACCAGCCTCCCTGGGCCTCAAAGCTGGGGCGGGGAGAGGTGGGGCGTGTGAAGCCAGGGTGCTGTGTGGACCTCCTCACAGACCAGCAAGCTCAGCATCTGCCCAAGGGCCAAGAATGGAGCCCACCCCGCTGCTCCTGTCCTGCAACCTGGGGACTCTGCAAGGCCCAGGGAGGTCCAGGGTCCCCTCCCTGCTCCCCATCCTCGAGCTCACAAGGCAGGGATCTCCATGCCCCCCACATCCAGCACAGCACCTAGGGGTTAATTACACAAGCGCCCCGCTCCCCATGGAGTCAGCCAGGGTCACCCCGCCAAGGCCAAGCCCGCTGCAGGACTTGACCCACACCGTCAGGGGCACCCGGGTCAGGGGTCCCGGTCCCCAGCGCGGGTCCTAAACAGGAGGGCCCAGCCTCGCGCGCCTCTAACGGTACGGGCAGCCAAGGGTGCTGCTGC